TTAAGACAGTAAAACCAAGTAAGAAAGAGAAACATCTTTACTTCCATAGTTAACCCATCACCGTCCTTCCTCTGCAGCTGCATAGCTTCTACTCTCCCTCACTGAAGAACCGGCTATCACATCCTCTTGTGCGTTGCCTCTTGTTCCCCAGTTTCCGTGCCTCGCTTCTGATCGAATTGTTGGTGCTCTCTCATTAGACCCAACTCTCATTTGGTCAATATCAACCTTGTGATCCACTGGATTGCTGCCTTCTTCTGCATTAGAACGCTGTTGTAGTTTCATTATATCTTCATCAATGTCTAGATCGTCCTCCACCTTCTGACGCCGTTCCTCCCTGTTTTCTTCCTCAGCTTCTTCAGGTCCTTCCCATGTCGTAGGTAATGTAACACTCCTTGGTGGTTCTTCTTTGACGAACGCTCTGAAATTGTTCCTCGAGGGCTTACCTTTTGAGCAAAATATCTCCAGGAAATTGTTTGAACACCCACGGTTATAAACATTGATTCTATTGTCTGATCTGTACCGGAAATTCTCATATGTAGTCTAAAAAAATCGCAATGTGGGGTATCAGATGAGAAACAGGGTACTCAATACAAACCCAAGGAGTTCAAAAACTAACCTGGTTGGTGCTAATGAGGTACAAGTGGAACCCAGTAAGCCCTCCAACAAACCACAAGGAAATAAAGCAGTATATCATCAGCATAACAGACCAAGGTGATTCTCGCATTGCCCTCCAGACAGTACCTTGATGGTTGTCCATCAGAACCTTAATGTATAAAGCCGACATCGAAAACACGTAGATGCAGAGAAGAGATGCAGAGGCAACAAACATAAAGAAGAACCTATAGTTTCTCTGCCCACAACACATCAAAAAATTAATACAATGTCAAAATGTATCGGCCTAAGAGCAGACAAGATGGAGGAAAACTAAATCATCAGTTTTGTCATTAACAGATAGAACTAGTGTTTAACCTTTTCAGATTAGAGTTTTCTGGTTATAAGAAACTATGAACTACACATACATCCCAATTTTAATATGTTTATGATTCAGCTTACCACTCCAATGCATTGGCCTACCCAAGGGCAATGATGATCAAAACGCTCAACACAGTTATTGCAAATTGAGCAATGGGAGCAACGAGGAGGCCGATAAAGCATGCATGTATCACAATATTTGACTCTAACAGAAACACCATAAACAATTACTTCTTTCGTCCTAGGAATTTGAACAGTGGGTGTTTGCCTTCCATCACTTGATACGGTTGTATCATAGCATAGTTCTTCTTCTGGCGGATGAGAATTTCTTGGAACAATTCCAGGATCTCTCGCAGAAGTGAGGAATAGAAGAATCAGTACCTATCAAAACCAGCTAAGCGATTAAACAAAGCACAAGTAAAGGAAGAACACTAAAGTAACCCAAAAGTAACAGTAATAATCTGAAAGCCACAAAAGAAAGAGACAACAACATTCAACTTATAGCTTACAAAACATATAAACTCAAATTTCAACTCTAAGCTAGAGTAAAAAAACATGTATAAGGAACATCATAAGATACATGTTATTGTGATGTGATTAAGTTCATTCTTTGGGTTAGAATCTCAGCTTATTGTGGTATGATCACGACTGAATCATACTATGATGTTATTGTGGTGAATTACCATTGAATCTGCATTTATCTAAGCAACACTCAAGGATTACAAAAGAGATGATAAGAGTTTTATAATATCTCAGGTTAAAGGTAAAGAGGAAAAACGTGTAAGACATGATATATGGGAGTATCAAATGAGCATTAGAGAAGACTTACAAGAAGGGTAAATAGAATTGCTACGACTAAGATTGCATTTCCCGCATTGCTTGGTAAGAACTCGTGGCGTAGATTTGTTGCAACAAATACAGAAAACAAACTAACTGGAGTTATGATGAGCAGCAAGGTAAAAGGAAGAGACCAAGCATCAGGCCCAAGTATCAATCTCCCACCAAATAAAAACTTCTGCAAAAAAGCAACAAAAGAGGAGATGATGATCATGTGCAAGGAGCAAAAGCATTAAGAAGTATATTCACAAGCGGCGTAGTAAGATTCCTTTTCGACAATATGGTTCAAGAAGTTACAAATGATATCTAAGACCTTATCACAAGAGACAATGATAACAAGAAGTTACAGTATGTTATCAATAGCGACGAAGCAGAAATAAATATTCGAAAATTTAAGGCAATCAACACATTAAAGCCACCAAAACCACCACCACATATTTGGAGAATGTAATACTATAGTAATTGAAAGTAGTGATGGTATTGTATTAGTTTCCATCACAAACTCGAATCAAAGATTCTTCTGTCCTTTGGTACTACAAGTGAAGAAGCAATCAGTCCCTCACGGGATTAGAATGCATTTAATTCAGAGAAACCTATATATAGATTTGTTGAAAAAGCAAGAGAATTAGAAGAATGCAGATTCTAAGAAAATCCAATCTCCAGAGAATGAAAAGCTTACATTGCTTCCCTTCCAGGCTTCGTAGACCCGTCTCGCCATAAGAATCAGCCAACAGATCAGACATGAATTGGAGGATTTCTTCGCCGATTCACAACTCGCCAAACCTAAGTGCAAAATCGACACAAATCGAGGTGTGCAAAAAGACAAGAAAAGGGAAAATTGTGGTTTTAGGTTGCTAGTGATCTCTCACAGAAGTCGTTTCGTTTCGTTTCGTTTCTGGATTGTGTCTCCCGCGACCAACATTATAATTTTGTTCCCCTTTTTTTGTTTTTTTAATAATTATGTCATCGCATAAAACATTTGGTAGGTGAATTAGGGAAAACCGTATTTTTGGACCAGAATTGTCATCAGATTTTTTTGGACCTGATTTCTTAACATTAGCCAATTTAAATCCGAATTTTAAATTAATTCATCGATACCCAAACATACAATTTTGTTATTGATTTAGATCTTGACCAAATCAGCGTTAGTCAATGTTAACGGAACAATGACATGGATGACACGTAGACAAAGGGAAACGGCCTTTTTGGACCAGAACTATTGCCATCGGGCTTTTTTAGACCTGATCTTTTAACATTGGCCAATTTAAACCCGAACCTCAAATTAATTCAAATTATTTTAAAAATTTTAAATCTACAATCAGAATAAAAAATTAAATTTTAATTTAATAAATATCAAATTATAAATCTGAAATTTAAACTGAAATTAAAATTTTCTAAAAATTTACATTTAAAATGAAAGAAATTAATATTTTTGAACCATAATATTAATTATAATCATGATAAAATATTTATATACTAAATTTTATCAAGTTCTAATKTCYAA